CCTAATTAATGGCTCCAGTATGACAGTCTAAACAAGTAATAAATCCAGTTACCATGTGATACTAAGTGATGCACAAGCTCTTTAATTTCCAAAGATGCGAACAAAACAGGCGGATACACTATTATTATTCTATAGGATTTATTAATATATATATATATATATATATATATAATTTCAGGTACTTATATAGCGTTGTCAATTTACGCAGCACTTTACATATTGTACATTCACATCAGTCCCTAACCCTCAAATATAGATATAGAGATATATATATCTATCGATCACCAAAAGTTTGCGCAGTGCTTTACAATGTGAGACAAAGTACAGTTACAATACAACTGAATACAGGAGGTATCAGAGGGCCCTGCTCATTAGAGCTTACAATCTATAAGTCTTTGTCAGTGACATAACAGTATCCACAAAGACTACAACTCCCAATAACTCCCAATCTTCAACTGGTGGCTGGAGTGGACTTGACTGGCCTGGACTGGCCATGTCTAAAGTGGCAACAAGGGACCAAAGTCAACCCTCCAGCTTGTTTTGTACAGACCAGAACACGTTTTACTAATGATAATTGTTTTAACCCTTTATCAAGTCTTGAGTTTCACAATAAAAGTGGGATTCTATCCCTCAACTAAAAACAGTCTGATTTCATCTATCATTTAAAACAGAAATAGGTCACATCATGTTTCCAGATTAGGACGGGCACGTATTCAGTCCCTCAGGATGTGCAAACCAGAAGGGTGAACCATGCGTTACAAGTCTTTAAATTGTACCACGGGGCTTGACATATTCCAGGTGCCAGGTCGCCATGGTGACTTAAAATTGTGTTCCTGGCGCCTGGGCTTTTGTCAGGCCACTCACTGTTGGTGGCAGGCATGAGCAATTCCCATAGCCCGACGTCCCGCACATGCAGTTCCAGGCGCTGGGTAGCTGATTTAGTTTTAACATCTACTAAAAAAAAACAAAAAACTCTTAACCTCTGCTGCCTAACTGCAGCAGAGCTAAAGTATTTCTTTCTTCTTCACATACCGGCACCCCCATGTATTATCCGCCCCTTCCCCCAGTAGATCCGCTGATGCTGTGCAGAAAGGTTCTCCCACACTCCTCTTTCCTTTGGCATCAGCCAATTCGTGCGCATCGTGGTTCACCTCTCCTCCTCCCTGCTAGTCCCCGAGCCCGGGGCTGGAGACAAGAAGGGAGGTGAGCAGAGTTTAGCTCACACGGCATGTTATACACTACAACATACACACATTACAAATTTTAGCCCCAACAACTTCAGCCTATTAGCCTGCTTAGAACCCTTAAGAACTTAGTACATTTAAAACTGTAATAGCCGTGAGGGATAGTCAGAGACTGGAGAATATCGCTCACTTATTACGATTTTAAATGTACTAGCGATCCTAAGAAGGATAATAGGCAAAACCTGAGAGACATAACTGTGTGTGATTTGTTAATGGCCAACATGAGTGGACCATCAGTGAAGGATTTTGATCCTGCAAAGGCTGTTGACCATTGGTATTTTAATTCTAAAAGTACAAGGCATGTTCATGGCTGCAAAAAGCCAAGTGAAAAAAAGTGACACGTTGCATAAAACATCTGGGGTGTCACATTATAATATATTCACTATCTGCATAAGTTAAATGCCTATGATGTTTGGTTCTAGTCTTCTTCATGTGTAAATTTAGGATCTGGTATTTGACGTTGAAAATAAAGCTTAGTGTTATAAAAAACAGTCTCCTAACTTTTTTTTGGTGGCTCCAAGGTTCAAAGCAAATTTGTCAAGAACTGTTTTAACATATTTAAAAAAAGAGAGTATGAACAGCAGGAGTGGTGGACCTGACAGCAAGAGTGGTGGACTCAAAGAGAAGTCTTATGTTGACCAGCAAAGGTCAGTTAGAGAGTGAGTGGTTGCTATAGCTCGTTGGGTTTCCATGTTGTTTGGCTCAGCCCTAGAAATAGGAAGGTGGTTGGTGGGTTTTATTATTAGTGTAGTTTAACTCCTTCCTGCCTGGCCTAATGTAACATGACAGCTGAGCGGGATCCCTATTATCCTTAGAATTAGGATCAAGCCTTGCGTGCCCCATGGGCCATGCTCCAGTGCGATCTGTCACCAGCTGTGTCCACCGAACACAGCCGATGACAGATCACTACACCGGCCTGCTGCCAGTGTCATATGAACGCTGTGACCAATCACAGCAGATCACATGACAGTTGTAAACAATGAATGGCTTCCTTTCATTCATTTCTTACAACTGTGCTGCTAGCTGTGATTGGTCACAATGGTCACATGTACAGACTGGGCCAATCACAGCCCATCCATAGCATGTGATCAGCTGTGGCCAATTTTAGCTGATCACAACAAAAACTATTGAATTAATCAGTTTCATTCTTTATAAATGCTTGCTTATACCAATAAAAATTCATTAGTATAAGCAATCATAATGTGTAAAAAAAAAAAAAAAAATCCTGATCACTTGCCCAGAGTAGTACAATGTTACTATGGTAACATTGTATTTCTCTAGTCACAGGAGTAGAATTTTAAAAAAAATGCAATAAAAAATGTAAAACATTTTTAAAAATTATTATTTTTAACATACTGTCACCAGTCAGTTTCCCTGATCACCACTGCACCAGTTATATCATGACGCTGTACTGCATTGGTGACAGTATGTAAAAAAATAAAACTGTGGAAACATTTTTTTTAATTTCTTAAATTTTCCACAAAATTATGACAAAAAATTTCAAACAACTTCCATAAATATCACCATGCCTCTTATTAAATACCTTGGACTGTCTACTTTCCAAAAAGCGGTAATTTGGGGGGTATTTATACTGTCCTAGTGGTCAAGAAATGAGATGATCAGTACATCAGGATTTATTGATTTATTTCCAAAATTTTATAGCAGAAACTTTTTTCCACCAATTTCCTTTGGTGGTATTTAATCACGACTGAGTTTTTTATTTTTTGCATTATAAATGAAAAAACATTTATAGTGCAAAACATAAAAAACCCAGTGGTGATTAAATACCACCAAAGGAAATCTCTATTTGTGTGAAAAAATGATTGAAATTTCATAAAATGTTCATATGGGTACATGCTCGGTAGGCAAGTGGTTAATAAATGAGAGGAATAACTATAGCATAAGAAAATTAACCAAGAATTTTGGTATTCACACACTGATATGTAGAAGACTACAAGACCATATCTTTAACTGGATTGGTTTAATTGAAGTTCTACTTTTAGAAAAGTAATTTAAACTTGTTTTTAGAACAAAACCATAAACTAAAAACTTGCGTGACTTGCATTTTGGTTCTCATTCTCCAATTCTGCACTGGAAGAGCCCAACTGACTGCTATTGGAATCGTGATCTGAGTCAGTTCTTCTCTAGAAAGAACCATAAATTAGGTCCATTGTGCTCATTTCTTGAGCCGAGAGGTGCATTATGTGTTCAATATTGGTAGACGGTACTAGGGAAGCGTTATGTGACTAACATTTACTGAAACATAATCTGAACTTCTGTCATACTGACAGGGTGGCTGACCTCGATGTTTCCTAATTAGTCAGTGCTTCTGATAAAAATTTACATTCTTTAAAACCGACCTATGTCCCTGCCACAGATAATTTTTCATCTCTTTTCCTACTGTCTTTTATTTTTCCCTTTGTTTTTTCTTCAATGTTGTTCTCTATGTCTGCCTCCTTGGGAGATACTTGGACCCCACAGTGGACACACTGGATCCTGATTACAGAATATACTTGACAGCTGCCCTAATTTGGCCATATACCAGTAGAATTTTGATTTGTTCAAATATTTTAGTTTTTGAAACATTTGTTCTATTTTCTAATGGTTAGCAGGGTCAAAGTAACAAATCGTTCTCAAACATAATGATGGGAAAATTTTAAGCAGCAGGAGGTTTCTTATCTGAATGAACCAAATTCTGTCTGTGGAAGTGATTTCCATTTGGAGATATTGTAATGCATATGTGCTAGGCACAAATACGCTTTGGATTCCATTTAAGTGTGGATTCACACATGTGTGCTGCCAATTGATGCTTCGTTTTCATAGCTAATTGACAAAGTAGTTGTTCAGTGGTTCAGGTCAGGTTTAGATCAGGTTCAGGACAGGATTAGATCAGGTTCAAAACAGGATTAGATCCTGTTCACAACTGATAAGTAGCAGGTCTAAAAGAAAAATAAAGGCCTGCCAAACAAAATTAGTTAGACTCAGTGATGGCAAGATTAAATGCTCTGATGAAAATTTAGTCGTTTTAAAATGAAATCAGTTGACTGATGGCGAAATCGAATGCTCTGACAAATGTTTTTTTCAGAATTTCTGTACGAATGCTCAAACGAAATTCTACTGGCGTATAGTTAACTCAAATGGTATTTACACTTTTTGCAGCCAAATTGGGATTATGCCTACTTTAAAGACTAAATTCCAGCTCCCCTATGTACCAATATACCATTAACCTCATTAGCGGTATGATTATGTCCATATTTCTGTGCTCAAAGTGGTACTTTTTTTTGCATGGAAATATGTATTTTTTTTATTGTAGGCCTGTAATTTGTAGGAATAACTCACTAAAATCTGTCCGAACAAGAGTCTAGTAAACATCCCGGGTATGTTAAAATTTGAAACACGAAATCATAAATTATAATGTAATAAATAATCATAAAAATAATAATATAATAATAATACATTTAATTCAATAATATAATCAAACCAAAAACACTGAAATCTGAAATAGAGCGCCAAGTTCACACATCACTGAGCAAAGTCGCAAAATCGTTTTCAGTGTCTGATGACAAATTTCCCCATGAATCATTATCACTCAATTCTGCAAATGGTTCTACTTTACTAATCGCTGTTCTCTAGCCGGTCTAAAACTGATTTTGACCTAAAGGGACGCTTTTTGGACGCCATGGACGTTTCTCAGTTTCCAGGCAGAAAGAACAGTAAAAATGCAGGCAGGGCGCCGGACAAAGCACTCGCGACAAAATGTATGTGAAATGGTTTGATACAGTAATGTTATACTATGTGATTTTAGTGAATTTAGTGAATGTCACTTTTTGTCATTTTCAAATTTCCCGCCAGTTCTGTCCCCGTACATCCCGACGTTGCAGGGAACGGAACCCAGAAAACAGATGGCGGCATCTGCCGGAGGACATTACAAGGGACACTGCAGGAGGGACATCGTGGGAATGCAGGACAAGGTAAGAGAAGAACAGATCCCGGAGCAGCGCCGCATGGTATTCCCGAGTGTAGCTCGGGGTTACCGCTTGTGGTACTGAAACTTTACCCCGAGCTACACTCGGGAATACCGCCAGGGAGGTTACTGTACCTCTGTTGCAGAGAACAAAAGCTTTCTTTGATTTTGAGAACAGGTCTTACCTTAGCCCCTGCTGTGTTCCATAGAAAACTTCATGCCTTCCTGGTATGTAGATTTGGGATATGAAAGACAATAAGACACATCAAGCAGTTCACCAGTTGACATTATTAGCCCACACACACCCTGCACCCATCAACTATGTTTGCACGGCTTACTCTGCATCCCTCCAGCCTAGCCTATCTTGTCAATGTAGACTTTCACAGCTGCTATGCTTGCACGGCATCCTCAGAGTCCCTACAGACAGGCATGGGCTGCATGCTAAACTCTCTGGGACCGCATGCGGCCCACGGGTTGGACAGCCCTCATATAGAGCAAGGGACTGCCTGATTGGCAGGTTTACCAAAACTATGGAATAGGAAGACCCACCTATCTATCCATTCACTCTGTATCCAATCACGCAGGGCCTTGCACTAGATCAAGAGTGTCCAAACCATGGCCCCTGGCGCATGCAGCCTCAGAGTTTAGCATGTAGCCTTGGCCAGTCTGGAGGGCCATGCAAACATAGCAGCTGTGGCAGCCTACATGGAAATGCCAGGCAAATGTACGCCTGGAGGGATATTGAGGATGCTGTACAAACATAGTTGATGGGTGCAGAGTGTGTATGCTAATGAGGTCAGCTGATGATCTCCTTCCTGTGTCTTACTGGTTTTCACATCCCAAATCTACATACCAGGAAGTCTAGAGGTTTTCTATGGAACACAGCAGGGGCTAAGATAAGACCTTGTTCAAAAAATCAATGAATCCTTTTATTTTTTTCTGCAAAAGGGGTACCTTAATAGTATATAGGTACATAGGGGAGCCGGAGTTTAGAAAAAAAAAAAGGGAACTTGGCCTTTAAAGTTGTTACATGTCCATATTTACATAGCATTTAAAAAAGATGGCTTACCTTTTAGATGCTCTTTCCTGGAACATCCCGCAAGGCAAAATTCTATTTACTTCTTGGGGGACTGAGAGGGCTATGTTTTACATTAACCTGTATTTACTGTGAAGGCAGACATCACCTCATCAGTTGTACTAGATTTGAACACTGTCTTAATAAAGGGTTCAAAGAGAAGTGTAGGGTTTCCTTTTTTTTCTCAAATCCTACTTACCTAGGTGGATGCAGCATCTGTCTCTCGCTGGCTCTAAGTGAACTCAGCGATCACATGACCGCTGATCGCTGAGTTCTCACAGCCGTTCTGAGCTGTCAGAAACTTTTTTTCAAAATTTTCGTTCTTTTTTTTTTTTGTTTAGCAAAAAATGAAAACCCAGAGGTGATTAAATACCACCAAAAGAAAGCTCTATCTGTCTCAATAAAATAATAAAAATTTTGTTTGGGTACAGTGTTACATTCAAAGTGTGACAGCGCTGAAAGCTGAACATTGGCCTGGGCAGGAAAGGGGGTGAGAGTTCCCAGCAGGCAAGTGGTTAATAGCTTGTCCATGATCATTCTATTATATAGACATAAAAGAGGGAATTAATAAAAATTGTCTCAATTGGACTACAGCCAATTACCTTTTAATTTTAAATTTTCTAAAAAAATGAAATGTGGAAAAAAAATGAAAGAGAGAAGCTGGCTGGTAGCTATGGGCAATGGCACCAGTTGAGATAGAACCTGTTTTATTAATACCCACCATGTGTCTAGAAAATGCTGTATGGTCCAAACTTGCTGGATTTTGGATTTTGTATATCACTGTATTTCACGCTAATAATTTATACAAAACCATGTTTTCACTATCGAAAATTTCTTAAAATAATAAAAAATATATTCAAATATAAAACAAATCTATCTCCTACATACAATGCAGTCTAAATGTATATTTATACAAGCTTGCAAAAAAAAAAAAAAAGTAAGCACAAACACAATACATGGTGTAACTTAGAGATTGCCAAAATACTGCATAATATTTCAGGCAGGACGTGGTGGGCACAGAAGAGACCGGGCAGCACTAAGCTAACCAGCACACTTGCCCTTTTTCCATAGAGATCTTAATTCTATATTTCGAACTCACAAAAAATTAAATATATATTCCTTAACAAAAAAGAAATCCACTTTGTGTGCACTGAAGGGATTTACCAACCCAGATCTTAGACCTCGAAAAATCAAATTTTTTTTTCCATTATAAACTGATTACATCTAATTAAGCAAGATGGAATAAAAATTCAAGGCAAAGATAAGTGAAAGTTGCGTTCACCTGTTTGAATAATAAGCAAAATGCAATGAGATTTGACATGTTCATAATAAAGTAAAAGAAGAAGTGAAATATTGCCTGGAACAAAATGCTTCAAATTGTTATCCAATTTTAATGTTACTGTTTTTGAAATTCTTTTCTTCAAAATCTCAACAAGTCAAGCTTTGGCCCAAACCTAGCAGATGGTCAGAGAGTCTGCCTGTCACTCTTAGAGACCAATAAGGAGGTGTTGGTGGCAGATTACTAGAGTTTGACTTTGTCTGTCAAAACAAAATTGGCATAATAGAGTCCTAAGTTGGTTCCTGGTCACTCAGATACATGGCTCAAGAGTCTGTAGAGGGCTACTAAGTGTAATGATGCAAAAATGTTCCTTGTTAAAGGACAGAAAAGACATACAGGAACTGCCATTGCTGAAGCAAGTTGAGGGTCAAACGTCACCTGATGTCCGACAGTTACTGGCCTGTCAACATCCTGACCTCACCCAACGTATACCATCTTGGTCAGGCAGTAACTATCAAGCATCAGGTGACCTTTAACCTCTTTAACTGCTATATATTAGTGAAATTCTAAAGTAAATAAAACTAAAAAAAAGCAATAACATACATCTTTTATATGTAAAATTCAGGTTTAAGCCTAAGCCTTCTCGTGACTACTCTAAAATTCGCCGTTTCATCCACTGGGAAAGAAAAACATCTTGCAAATAGGCACCAATTTCCAGAAATATGGCTTCAAGAAATGTTTCAAATAGAAGACAGCCCATTTGACTTACCACAGATGTAAGTGCCATTTGAAAACTGTAGATCCGTGCAAGGCCAAAGTCCGCTAACTTTATCTGTCCATTGCTGGTAACCAAAATGTTTTGAGGTTTGAGGTCCCGGTGAACCACTCTGTGTGAATGGAGAAAGTCCAGTCCCTGGAGGAGCTGGTGCATCATGTCCTGAAAAGTAAGAATAGGCTGCAATTACCACTGCAGGTTGGTATTCAGTGTCCACAAATTGACTAGAACCGAATATACTACCGTATATGACAACAGTATGTGAACACTCCTACAAATTATTGAGTTCAGGTGTTTCCAGTGAAGGGTATTGTTAATGCCACACCATACAAAGACATTTAGCCAAAAACTGTGCTTTTTCAACCTTGAAGTAACAAATTGGGGACGGTTCCCTTCCATTTTAGCATGACTGTGCCCCTGTGCATGAAGCTTATCCATAGAGACATGATTTGACCAGTTTGGTGTGGAGGAACTCAAGTGGCTGGCACAAAGCCCTAAGCCCAACCCTACTAAAGACCTTTAGGCTTTTCCACATGGATGTTTTTTTACCACCCCACAACCAACCACCTACAAGTGCACATGGTGCTGCTTGGAGGAATACACACTGCCATGTCTGTGCATTGTGGTGCGACAATTTTAATGGTACTTGCCAAATTTGACAGGTGTCACCACCTTTCCAACTTTCCCATGTAACGGCTGCTTTGTAACGGTGAGCAAACTTGACTTGCATTTGTGTTGCGGTCATGCATTCTGAAATTGGTGTTTGGCAAAAAAAGAAAGAAAAAAATTACAGGCAGCAGTATGTTCTGTAAACTTCTTTTAACTGTCTTCTGTGTTATCCACCATCACTTTTCAGGTGGCGATAAACACTACCGATAATGTAAAAGGAGCCATAAGAATAAATGGACCATATTGGACCATGTCTTCTCATCCAAAGTGGGCCATCTCCATATTAATATGCTTGGTTTTGGAATAGGATATTCAACATGTGCAGTGGGGATCGAAAGTTTGGGCACCCCAGCTAAAAATTTGTATTAATGTGCATAAAGAAGCCAAGGAAAGATGGAAAAATCTCCAAAAGGCATCAAAATACAGATTAGACATTCTTATAATATGTCAACAAAAGTTAGATTTTATTTCCATCATTTACACTTTCAAAATGACAGAAAACAAAAAAATGGCGTCTGCAAAAGTTTGGGCACCCTGTAGAATTTATAGCATGCACTGCCCCCTTTGCAAAGCTGAGACCTGCCAGTGTCATGGATTGTTCTCAATCATCGCCTGGGAAGACCAGGTGATGTCAATCTCAAAGGTTTTAAATGCCTAGACTCATCTGACCTTGCCCCAACAATCAGCACCATGCCATGGGTTCTTCTAAGCAGTTGTCTAGAAAACTGAAACTGTGTATTCTAAGCAGACTGGTAGACTTGTGCTCAGGGAACGGAACAGTAAAGCATAAACACCGTGCAACACTTTTAAGCAGGAAACAGCTTGCATATGTATGAACAATATAGTCATGATCATAAATGATGGAGCTTCCAGAAACATAATTATGTTGCTGTATATTGTGATATTACAAAAGTTTATTCATGCAGATGTGTAAAGTCACTGATAGGTCCGCTTTAACCACATAAGCCTCAGGCGCAAACACAGGGCTCTAATGAATGAACCAAGACTCCAGGAAGCTGAACATCACTTCTGTAACTGGTACTTTGCAGGATTGCCATGTGGCAGATGCTGATAACGGAATTGGTGGGCAGGCCTGCAAGGTACGTTAGAATGGGGGGGCCTCACATCTAGGGCTCTCCTTCCTGCAGCTGTCTCTGGATGGATGCTAATTGTCTCCACTCGTTTAACCTCAGAGATAATGTCTGGGAGAACACAAGCAATGAGGATTTTTTTTCCTCTTCTCTAACGGTCATTTCCTCTCTGGTGTAACTTGCATGACAGCATGTGACAAGCAGAAATTAATGGGGACACTGCTGTGCCAATAGCCTTGAATG